TCTTATTTCTCTCACTAAAATAGGATCTCTTTGAGGATGTCTGCTTTGGGTTTTAAACATAGTTTGCATCCCCTGTGGCATTCAGCCCTATTCTTCACACTAAGTTGGTGCCAACTGGTACATAAGACTGATTGTTTTATGACAAAACTTCAGAAGTTTTGGTCTGGTTATTTGCCATCTCATGAACTTTATTCCTCTGTTAATCACCATGTGGTTATTTGTTAAACTTACTTAGAATAGGTGTATTTCCCCCAAGGCTTTTTGGCATACACATAAAGCATAAATTACTAATTCAGATAGTAATCATCAATTAAAAAAAAATCCTTCAGAAAAAAGTAAAGTCAAGATTGTCCACAAACACAAAAGAGCCAGCCTAGACTTCAACTTCCCTCCTCTCCTCCCTCACAGAGTCGTCTTAAGTCTACACCCACCAACAATTGGTCAGATATTACTCTTGTAGCTCAGCCAGGACTGCCTAGGTTAGAGCTATACCCCTCTTCTACACACACACACGCACACGTATGCACATGGGAACCTTACAAAGGCCTTATTCGTAAATGTTTGTATGCTGCTCTTCAGAGAACATCAAATCACTTGGAGGGCTAGTTTCCACCCCTAAGGTTCCTGATTCAGTAGTTTGGAGTTGGGCCTGAACTTTGCATTCCTAATATACCTAGCCAGTGCTGCTGCTGTGCTGGTTCAGAGATCACACTTTGAGCGTCACTGGTCTAGTGTCTCACTTTGAATTATCTATCTGGCTTAGATCCCTACCGACCTTTAGTATTGGAGTTACTGTCCTACTCCGGGCTGCAAGATGTGCGTTAGAGCTGTCTTACCAACTGGCCATACCACCCCTTCCCACCCTACGCCCTGCCTTTCTTCATTTCTCTGTTAGAGGATTAGGGCAATTTTGTGCTCTTGACTCCAATTTCTTTCTTTCTTTCTCTCTTTCTTTCTTTCTCTTCAGGATCTCATTCTGTCATTTTCTCCCTCTTTCCTAAGCCATTAATCCTTCCCTCTGTCCTGTTCCCACATCCTCAACTCTCTTACCTGTAAATTAATAAACAAATATAAAAACTTAAGCAAACCTCTCCTTGACTTTAAAATTCCCTCCATTTATCATCCAATCTCTTGCTTCCCTTTGACATTAAAAATTCAGGTAGCCTCCCTACCCTGTCTCCCTCCACGCTATTGTCTGGCTTCTAGCCACAGCGCTGGCTGCTTTTCTGTCCTTATGCAGGCTCTTCCCTGCAGCTGCTACTTCTCCCTTCTTCCGAGAGATGTTTCTTCTGGTTTCCCTGTTTCTCCTCAAGTCTTCCCTTGTCTTTTCATAGGGTCCTCTTCCTTGGATGAAATTTCAAATGTGAATTGCTGCAGGCTTCCACCATTTCTTTAATCATTTATTTCAGAGCTTCCCAACAATTATCAGGAACCAGTGCTATAGGCATTCCCAAGATACCATTTCTCTCAGCCCTTGGGAGTTGCTGGTTTGTTTATCCCCCTATGTCAGACATATATAATTCTTTTCTTTTTTTTTTTATTTTACATATTTCTCTCATGAGAGACAGAGAGATAAAGAGACCCATAACAGGGTCTTTCCATGCCACAATCCACCCCTCAGCCCTCTAGCCAGTCAAGACCACAGGTGTGCCTATGGACATGCTCAGTGTGCTCAAGTCTACTCGGGCTCTGAACCCACAGCCCGCTGTGCCACCACAATCGGGTCCGTATTATTATTTTCTATGTGTGCTGTCATGTGACTCTTTCAAACACTCCCCAAAGGGATTTCATTCTTTTTCCTGGTTTTATTACCATCAATGTCATGATAGCTCTGAAATGTATGTACCCAGAGCGATTTCATGGTGGAAACTTGAGAATCACTCTGAACCTTCCCTCCCCTTTATCGCCCACATTGAAAGAATTTTCTAATCTGATTCTTGCCTTCCCATCTACTACTACTCAGACCCTATTACATCTTGCCTGAATTATTCTAGAATCCTCCCGACCGATCTCCCTGCAGCTTTGTGATTCTTAAACCCACCCTCCATAACACAGCTGCCAGAAAAGTCTACCTAAAATGCAAATCTGACCACACCACTCCCTTGTTTAAAAGCCTCCAGTGGCTCATTGCTGACAGGATGAAGTCCAAACATCTTCATATACCAGTAACTTCACAAGTGATACTTACAAAAACCATTGTTTTTTTTAAACATTTTCTATAGGGCACATGCACCTGCTGAAGAGAGACAGAAAGAGAAGGAAAGTAACCATCCCCTCCCATAAGGGATGGTCATGACACAATCTCTTCACTACTTTTTTTTCTTTTTTAGACATGCACACATGTGCCTGGCATGTTTTCCAAGCCATGAAGTCTAGGATTAGAACCATGCAGTAGGCCACATGGTACTCAGCTACTGGTTAAGGCACTTGGATCCCATAACCACCAAGATACCAGCAGTGCCCTACGATTATTTTTAAAGTATTTTTCTCCTCACTAGATAACACATTTTCTGCATCCCCAGTTCTGGCACATAGAAAACACCCAATAAATAGTTCATGAATAAATGTAGCCTTGGGCTTTCCCATAAACTAATTCACAAAATTCTAGAAATAACATTTTCCTTTGCAATAGCATAAGGTCATTAAGTTTTAAATTTGAAACTGACTTGAAAATACTCCATGCCTCATTAATTAAAAGGTATATAGACCAAATCCAGTCAAAATTAGACCCAAAACACTATTCCAATAACTTTGTTTTGCTGAAATTAGGTTGCACATGGTCTTGATGAAATGAAATAATGCATTATATAATAACCTAGATTTTTTTTTCCTCTTTCATTTTGTACAGGTAACTTATATAAGATTTGGTAGTTTTTCAAGTATTTTTGCATTTCTTGGGTTTTGCCTTATAAAACTCATAGCATTTTACACATGAAGAAAATGGAACTGAGACTATGAGTGGCTTTGTGTACACTGACTTGGGCCAGCAATTTGTTTTCCCCAATGGATCACCCTTCTTCTAGCTGTAGCTTTAATTTCTTCCTTTCTTCCTTCCTTTCATCCTTTCCATAACCAAATTTGACCCAAATACCAAATATACCCTAAGCTATCTATAAATTCAACCATATTAGAGACTATGTTTGGTCAAGTGCCTCATTCATACAGATGTGAGTGTTTATCTGTGTACATTCTGCCATGAACATGGATACCGAATTCTGGACCTGCTGTAATTGCTAATAAACCAGTAGCACCCTAATTAAAATGGGTGGAAGTATCCAACCTATGAAAGGACAACAATATTTGGAGTTAAAAATATCTTAAAATTTCTTTAGTTTTTCTATACTTTCTAGATATGACTAGGTCCATGGCATAGTGGTTAAAGCAGCCCCATCCCACATAGCTAATCTCACAGTTCAAATCCCAGCATCCATGGCTTGCAAAACATGCTGGGCACTTACACATGTATGCAATCCCTAAAGGAGGGAGAAAGGGGGAGGAAGGGATTGCAGTGTGACCATTTCCCATGGAGAGTGCTTTTCCTCTCCTCTCTGTCTCACACTCTGGCAAGCTCATGCACCCTCTGGCAAATTGGAAAAAAAAAAAATGCCCAAAGAGCTCTCCAGTCATTATTTGATCATCTTCAGTGTTCAGGAGCTCACCATCCCCAGAAGTTATTGCTGCTCATTTCAAAGCCATGGGGAAACGTTTTTCACCATAGTCTGTTATCACTATAATTTCCTCATGATGAAAATAACAAATGTTTCTGGTTGTTTGCATTCCAAACAGACCTAAGTCTGGATCCCCGCTCTATTGCTTACTACAGCTATGAAAGCTTAGCAAACAGTTTAGCTCTTTGGACCTCAGTTTCTTCATCTGTAAAATGGATCACATGAAATTATATATGTAAATTTCCAAGCACTATAGCATCTTCAGAAAATACATGTAGAAAGTGCTCAAAAAATATTTGTTAAATAAATGAATAAACTTTCCCATAGCCTTGGCCTACTTTCAAAGCTTCAAAGCAGGAACTCCTCACGTGGAATCACTGTATTTTTGAAAACATAGCATGCTTATTTAGTGCAGTAAACAGATAACAAGAGACTTTTTTCTTAGAAACATAATCTTTTTAAATGGTCCAGATGAACCTGCTTACTCACATTGGGAACAAACATGACAGGAGAGAAATAATGTCTCTCCATAATCTAAATCTGCAAATCTAACTTTTACATCATGTAGCAGAAGCATTATTTCAAGTAGCATGCAATAATCCTTTGAGGTTAAACCATAAATTTTAAGTCTTGCTAGAGTAAGTCTTGATGAATCAGAGTACAAAAAAGAGGGCACTTTGTAGAGCTGTTGTGTAGAAGATGAAGCTGTGCTTCTGCTTAAGTAGAGTTCAGATGACTTTCTATCAAGGACCAGGAGACAAGACCCTATTGAAGCCACTTCAAATTCAAGCATTCTATCATTCTAACGAGAATATAGCATCCCAGCGATCAGACCCTTAAGAGGTTAACCTAGTTACCCCATTCACTTTTTTTTTTTAGATTATTCTATTTTATTAGAATTCATCATTGGCCTCATCTTAAAATCTCTCTCTACATTTTATCCAGAATTAATAGCCTGACAACTGACAGGTAGATCATTCAATCATTGAACCTTTCATTTCTTAACTGACCTAACTTTTCAGCTTCCCCATTTCAATAGGAAACTGATTTTCAGTACTCTGGACATGCATTTTTTCCCTCTATTTTTATTATTTTTAATTTTTAAAATAATTATGGAATTTATGCTGACAGAGAATTTAGAGGAAATATTTACTTAGAAAACATTTTGATGTCATTTCTAATTATCTTTTCCATACAGAGAATGATACGAGACCTCGAACTCCAGTCTTAGTTATACCATTTATTACCTTTCTCCAATTATATCCCAGCCAGTCATTTCACACTGTCCCATGTCCCACTCACTTCTGATTGTAACTATTCCATTTGCTTAAGTCCCAGGAGACTACAGTAAACGAGTGTATCAAGGTGTAAGAGTGAAGCACACAGTCAAAGATCTACTGGCAGAAAAACGATCCAGACAGACAAGTAACTCAAGATTTAATGTAAGTCCCAATTTGATACAGTCTCAAGTATGGCAGGGGTTATCCATTAAAATTGGTTATCTTCTCTCTCTTTATTTATATACCTCCTGCGTCTTTTCAAAAGAAAAGCCCTCCTGTTATCGGCACACACCATATAATTACTTTGATTTTTCTTCTTTCCCCATGATGGACAATCTTTCCCTGCAAAGCACACCTGCTTCTTACCTTCTGTCTTAACTTGGTGGTGCCAACATTTTTCATTTGACCGCCAGTCCCTTGATTGCCCTTCTCATCCTAGTTTATCTCACATCATGTTCTTTTTGAAAGAAGTTTTACATCTCTACTCATCTGCTATTGATTATATGCCCTTGAAAACACAAACTGTATTCTCTCATAGCTGAACGTTGTATAAGTTGCCGTGAATTAATGCTGGTTCTCCTCCAGAGAGCCTGTTGCAGAGCAGGGGCCCTGCCCTCAGGAACCAGTGTGACCCTGGAAAAGTCACTTTATTTCTCTGTTTACTCTTTATTTCTTTTGACTGACACAAATTGAGTCCAACCAAATGACCTCCAGGGCCAGCCTTGGCCCCAGAGGCTTAAACAATATGCCAGGTCCATGAAGCGTGTACCTAGGATCCTGACAGGAAGGAGGAATGAAGGAAAAGAGACTGTGGCATGGCCATGCCCTGTTTGGGGGGTGGGGGTGCCTTGTCTTGCCCGCTTGCGCGCGCTCTCTTTCATTCCCCTTGGCAATGAAAAAAAAAATGACCTTCAGGGTCCTGTCTAGCTATAACAAATTCTGACTATTGGCCCTGTTTGGGGGGTGGGGGTGCCTTGTCTTGCCCGCTTGCGCGCGCTCTCTTTCATTCCCCTTGGCAATGAAAAAAAAAATGACCTTCAGGGTCCTGTCTATAGCTATAACAAATTCTGACTATTGTTCACATTATGTTTCCTCTGGTAGCTACCAGCAAGTACTCCAGGAGCTCTGTGCCCTATTTGCCGACTGCTGCAGCTAGTGGCAATGGAAAGATAGTGTTCTGACTATTTCCCCCAGTCATGAATTAACAAAGCTCAGTCAGTAGAAGTAATACTGACCTTCATCCACATGTTATGGCAAACCCAATAGAGATAACTTAGGAAAAAATTTTCTCGGTAACAATTTTAAAATCCTAGTGGGAGATGTCTATCTGCTACCCATGTCTTCATTAAAAAAACGCTTGGGAAAAGTAGTTAGCATAATGGCTATGTCACTGGACTCCCATGTAGTCGACCACAGTTTGAGTCCTGGACCAGGTGGTTTAAACTCATGCCAGGCACGTGTGCGTGCGTGCCCAAGATCCTGAGAGGAAAGTGGAAGAGATTGTGGCATGGCCATCCCTCCTGGGGGTAATTTTTCGCTTTCTGTCTCTCTGTCTCTCTCTTTCTGGTGAGCACACACGCCCTATAGCAAAAACCTCTAAAAAAAATTTTTTTTAAATTAAAAAAAAAAAAAACTCCACTCTATGCCTACAATGTTAAGTAATTCCAAGAGTGATTCTAGAATAGCAATTGCATTAGGTTGTCAAGATCAGTATGTAACCGGGCTGACCTTGTGGCTTAATAGTTAAGGGAGCTAAATCCCACATGGCTGACTACAGTTCTAACTGCACACCCAGTGGTGTGAAAACTATGCCAGGCATGTGTGTGCGCATGCCCAAAGTCACAACGGGATAGAGAAATGAGAAAGGATAGCAACTTAACCATGCTACACTGGGGAATGCTTTCTCCCTCTCACTCTCCCTCCCAGAGTGCATACACTCTGGCAAATGAAAGGGAAGAAGGAAGGAAGGAAGGAAGGAAGGAAGGAAGGAAGGAAGGAAGGAAGGAAAGAAAGAAAAAAGATCAGAATATAACCACCTATTCTATTAGGTAAAACAGTAACATGAATGTAGGGCATCTGCTACATTCACAGAACACAAGAGCAGATGGCCAGGAATAAATGAGGCACCTATGCAGATCCCTAGTGCAGGAACTGATGCCTAACAGGTATCATTTCTGTGTGTATGTTGAGAATGTTGGCCTGGTGTTCCACACTGCTCCAATATTAAGCTCCTGGGCCCTGTTTCAGGTGAATCCACTCCAGAATCAATGTCTTCCCATTCAGGAACACCATCTCTTGTACATGTTCTGCTAGCCTTTCTTGTTAAACCACCTCCTCTCTCATAGTTAGTTAAACAAATGAAGACAAAGATATCTGCTCCCACCTAGCTCTGAATCATCAGGGGAGTATACTAAAAAATATCAATACAGAGGCCAGAAAGTAGCATAGTGGTTAAGGTGTTTGACTCCCTCTTGGTTGACTGCAGTTCGAGTCCTGGGCCCAGCAGCTTGAAACTCACGCCGAATGCGTGTGCATACATGCCCAAAATTCCAAGAGAAGAATGGAGGATAAGAGATTGCAGCGTGGCCATCCTCCTGGTCCCTGGGGGTTGATTTCTTGCTTTGTTTCTCCGTCTCTCTGGTGAGTGCACACATCCTATAGCAAAAAATCCACATATACATATATATATACATACATATATATATGTATGTATATATATATGTATATGTATATATGTGTGTGTGTGTGTGTGTATCTCCAAACCTAGTATGGAAAGAGAGACTATATGAATGAATTCAGAGTCTACTGTAAATAAGCCACAGCCTCAAGGGGAAGTAATATGAATTGCTTGGCTACAACTGTGACTACAGATGACAGAATAACTAACTTGTGAAATTTGGTGAAAGTTTCAGGCAAACTGCCAACTGAGAAGACAAGAGTCACGTGTGAGGGTAACACCCATAGTCAAGGAGCAGGTATTTTATTTGCCCAGTGCAAATGAGGATATAACATATACTCTGTGCTATTAAACACCAAATTACCTGGGGGAAAGGAAAAATACACATTTAATGAGTGATAACACCTTGGCATCATCATTGAATAGATACAAATGATAAGACATTATGTCAGAGTTACATAAAAAGACAAGTCACACACACCAAAAAAAATAGAAAATCAAGAAGACATATACTCAAGTGGTGAATATAATTTTTCTTTAAAAATTTACCTAATATGACTTCTTGTTCAAGATCTGTGAGTATAAAGTCACAGATTTTGTGTTTTCTTTCCTTATTTTTTGATAAGCTTTGTTAAAAAATAAACAACATAGCAGCCAGCAGATGGCATAGCGGTTATGTCGCTGGATCCCATATGGCTAATCATGGTTTGAGTCCCAGACCCAGTGGCTTGGGCATGTGTGTGCATGCCCCAGATCCCAGAAAGAGAATGGAGGAGAAGGGATTTTGGCATGGCCATTCCCCCAGGAGGGGGGGATGAATTTCTTACTTTCCTCTGACTGTTTCTGTCTCTCTCTCTCCCCAGCAAGTGCACGTGCCCTAAGGCAAAAACCTTTTTTAAAGAAAAAGATAAATAATATAAATATAACTGATAATAAACCAGGACCCAGGTGGTAGCACAGAGGTAACACGACTGGCCCCACCTGGGAAAGCTCCTGAGTCCGGGCCTTGAGACCTCCCTCAGCACACTGGTACACACATGTGGCCATGATCTGGGCTAGCTGAGAAGAACGACCATGGCAAGAGGACCCTGCTGGGTGCCTCTGCCTCTTTCTTTCTCATGTGGAATAAACTTTAAAATTTTAACAAGCCACCCTACTTTATATCATTTTAAATGGAGCTTTTTGGGCCCTGTTCCATGTCTACTTACATTCAGTTATTGGATTTGAGCCAGGGGACGATCATTTTTTCATTTTTGACAAGCCCCTGAGCTGATGTTTCTGCATGTCACTGTTTGAAAACTTTGCCAAAGAACAAGCGCCCAGGCCTCCCATCCACAGCCAAGGTTCTTAATGCTAGTCGGAGGAGAACTTGCTGAGCTGTTGCTAGCAGCCCAGGGACGCTGTGTTATAAAATTTCTTGTGTTACAAGAGCCATGTAACATATACTCTGTGCTATTAAACAGCAAATTACCTGGGGGAAAGTAAAAATGCACATTTGAAAAATAACCAAGTGATGGACTGAATGTTAAAGACAAAAGACCAAGCAGCACAGTCTTACAAGATGAAGACCAAAATTATTTATGTCAAGAGAGTCTGGAGTGTAATTCCTTGTGTACTAGCTCATTTGACAGACCAGTTCTGTAAGACTGATATTTAAGTGTTTTCCCCTTTTACAGATGAGGAAGCTGAGAACAAGAGAAGGGGAAAGATGTTTTATGAGCTGCACAACTAGCAGGTCTTCCAACTCCTAATTCCATATCCCATATTTAAAGGGAAAGATCAATGTGGACTAGAGTTGCATAATCCCTGGTCATGGAGGAAATGATATTGTGAAAACATATGACGGAAAACCAATATCTAATACTAGAAGCTGCAAGCCAGCTCTAACTACGGTAGTTGTTCTCAGGCATCAGGTACATAGGTGGTATGAACACACCCTTAACTTTGCTTTCCCATCACGTTTCCCAACATTGCAATGAGAATATCTTATTCTCATCTTCATTTCAATACTTTTGTGAGTTTTTGGGGTTTTTTTTGTTTGTTTGGTTTTTTGTTTCGTTTTGTTTTTTATACAGGTAAGAGGAGGACAAATGAGAAATCACTCCCCACAAGGAAGTGGCCACACAGTAATCCCTTCTCTTTCACTCTCCTCTCAGGATTTCGGGCATGAATGCACACACACCCAGTGTGTTTTTCAAACTGCCAAATGCAAGACTTGAACCATGCAGTCGGCCTTGTGGGATCAAGCCATCTTAACCATCACACCACCTGGCTGGCCTTCTTCAATAATTTTTTAGATTTGGATAATGAAATGCATACAGTTTCAAAAAATGTGATTATTTGGACTTCAGACATCTCCATGAATTGATTTTATTGTCCACCTACCCATGTTCATCCTCTCAACCACTATTCTAAAATACCTGTAAACCCCGAGAAAGATATTATATTCATTAACCACCCACGCTTTTAAAATTATCTGCTTAAT